TGCAATTGACTTTTGATCTTTGAACTAAATAGCAATTGACTTTTGATCTTTGAACTAAATGCAATTAACTTTTGATCTTTGAATTAAATGTATTTAATAAATAGCAAAATTTCTATATACTTACTGGTATAAATCTTTCCTGGTTCATAATATCGTGTTTCATATCCTTTAGCATCCAAAAAGCGAAATTCAAAAGGTGGCATTGTTTCCTGCGGTTTACCATGTACAATACGATTCATCCGCATTGAATGACGCATCATACAATGAAAACCGCTGAATTCAGTAAGAGCTGCTTGAATGGAAGTCCAAAGACCTGTGATGACTAGAATGAATAGCATTGTACCTTAAAAATTAGCCAAAAATTTAGAAATATACCAGGAGAAAATTTAACTCAAAAAAGATGGAACATCGCTTGAATTTAATAAATACTTCTTATCAGGCAATATAATAACTTAGCTAAATATATCAACCAATATGATCCAGAATTTAAGGCTAAATTAAGACAGAATTTAATAGCCTAGACTAGAGTTAATGATACGATGTGCATATATGTGTAACGTGAAATGAATGAGACGAGAAATTTCTTATTAGGCTACTTGAATGAAAATTTTTGATTTAAATAAGGTCAAATGTTAAATGTCAATTGCGCTTATATTGGAACATTGTATTATCTTCTCCAACATTTCTGCTCTTAAAAGCATTTCAAGTTAGGGTAAGAATGAAGCAAACAAGATGATTACAGAAGAATATGGAATCAAATTTTTACCGGAAAAGTAATTTAATCAAGAAAAAATGATGGGAGTGAGAGAGGAGTCATTTTAACAACATTTATGTCTAAATGCGCCTGAAGAAAGAATAAATTTTGAAATGTTATTATCATTTATATGAGTGAAAATGAAGCAAATATTTCAATTGAGAGCGATAACAAAAGCGGTAATGTCGTATCTATTTTTTTTTTTTTTTACTTCATAAATATTTGCAAAAAATTGCATTCTCATAAAAGCTACAATCAAATATTACAGTATTATATGGAAATAGTCAAATTGATGACAGTGGAAATTGGCGTGTCACAAAGTGAACAAAAGGGTGACATGTCAGATAAGGTCAAATTAGATTCAGTCAGGTCAGGTCAGGTTATCGGAGTATTACGCCATCGGAAACATGTTAAGAAGACAAAAATCATTTTGAGTATTGACAAGTGTTCCTTTAAAAGTTCGAATTTTCTTTGGAAAAATTAATTTTCTTTTCTTGAATATACTGAATGTAAGAAAACAAGTAATTAATTTCTTTGGTAGACAAAATGAAATTAAAAAAAAAGGAAAATTCCGCCCTTTTAATAAAATGATGAAAGCGCCATTTGAAGAATGTATTCGAAAACCAGATTCTCGTCTAATCACTGAAATCTAGAAAGTTTTAGAAGTGAGTGATGGAACGATTGACAAAGATATTGGATTAATCAGACGCTTTGAAGGTCTATTATCAGTACACGTCAATTAAAGCAATATAAAAATTGGTGACAAAGATAAAAATGATAATGAGAAGTGATTTATTTTAAATAAAAAAATGAATGATATTTAAAAAGGTTAGTTTTATTTTCATCTAATCGTTCAACAATCCCTATTTGCATTCACTTTTTTGTTAATTTTATCAACTTTTCGTCTTCCTTCTTTGCTTCATTTCAACGAATATTTCCCAAAATTTCATTAATTTATAAATTAAATCTAATCTTATCACTTAACAGTATTTACTACTTTCCTTATTTAACTATCGATCGAAGTTAAAAAATGAAATGATCCATGCAATTGTAAACTACACCCATTCCATCCTTACTTATCTTTGCTATAAGCATTTTATTAGCTGCTAATCCGTTATACAACCAAGTATGCTTAAATGTATGATTATGATAAGTAATTAGAATGGAAGGGTGGAGAAGAAGGAGAAGCAAAAAAAAAAAAAAGAAAATTATCTTTTGAATCCAAAATTTTCAATCTAATTTTAGAAGAAGAAGAAAACAGATTGCAAATTATGGTATCTTAAACAAAAGTATTCACAGAAATCTCATCGGTATTATCAGTATATAAAAGTATTTGTTGGTATTAAACAATGATAATTGATAAATTCCCTTGAATTTTAATAAAAATTACTATTTCATACCAATTTCTTGCTAAAGTTGCTTTCGTCGATGGGACAAAGTAAAGAAATTATCATAAATTAATTGAAGTAAATAATTTTCCGAATATTGAACAATTACTATCAATAACATATATATTTATGCATTGCACGGGAACTTTTGTAATCAATTATTTGTCAATTAATTATCATAATTAAAGATGTTATAAGCAAAAAATTTTGCCAAATATTTGCTAATTAGTAAGATCAGTAAAGGTAATTGCAGGAAGAATAGCCAATTCAAAAATTATTATTACTCTATTGATAAGTATTCAAAAAGATATCACTTACCTTCAAGAAATATAATCCTTTAATTGTAGTTAATATTATAGCTCAAAAAAATACCTTTACCTAAGATAGATTATAAGAGTTACATTCAGGTATCAATATATGAAAATAAGATGAAAGGGAGAATGGTGAAAGTTCCATGAAGAGTGTGTCAACTGATTGACAATGATTTTGTGTGATATCTCCACTGCTGATCATCCCTTTTATAAAGGCGGAGAAATTTTCAAAAGTTGTTCCAGTCGGAAGAAGCATCGCTACAAAGAAGCGCTTTTGTTGATAAAGGAAACAATGAAAACTGGTAAGTTAACTGGTTTAAAGTATGTATGTTCGGAGAAAATGATTGAAAGAAATAGCTATTGAAAATGCTAATTTTTAACAAAGAATAAAGAGATCAAAACATGAAAAAAAAGTGATTGAAAATGTTTCAGTATAAGGAAAGAGAAAGGAAAAGATGAAAGAAGAAGACGAAAAAGGAAGCAAATTCAGGTCACATAATTATTACTTCCTACTGCAAAAAAATTTAAGCGGATTACTAAAAAAAAAAAAATAGTTTTTTAAACATGAAAGTGTTTATTTGATAGAAAAAGCGAAATATTTCTAGTAACTTAAAAAAGATGATATTTATCAATTTGTTATCACTATCAACGGATCATTATTACTACTATGGCTAATAAATTTCTGACCATAAGCCCTCCGGGTTGATGATTTGATGATCAAGAGCAAAAAAGGTTGTATTAGGAAACCTGATATACAACCGGTACTTGATGTTATATAGCCGTAGGGTATCGTATAAATCTACATTTATGGATGTGTTAAATTGCGAGTTTTATTCATGCATACTAATACTTGTGTAAAATTTAACAATGAAAAATTGGGCAATTTCAGAAGGACAAATGCAACCATTTTCTGGATATGGATTATTATTATTATTGTTATATTATATAAAAAAAAAAAAAAAAAAATGACCATCGGTCATTTTTCTTCCTACTCAATTAAATTGGACAAAATAGCAGGAAATAAAAGGAATGTTTCAAATTAATATCATTTAAAAAATATAATTAATGAT